TCAACTTCTCCTTGTCGAGAATTGAGCGCAAAGAGAATTGGTTGTTGTTTGAGTTACTTGCAGACATGATTCTACAATTGAAAGAATTTGAAGTGAAAAACCATTCATACATCAATAAGTCGAAATTCAAAGCGTTCATGCATATATTCAAACTTATTGAGCATTTTATCCACGCATTTTTAAGATTGTCCCTTATGGGCGAGAATAAAATGATTCCGAGATCCCAAAGATCAAGAAATGGTTAAGCATGCTTTGGCTTGTCTTAACCATTAAATATCTTAAGGTAAGCAATCCAATTGCTAATAGCTCCAAGCTACTCTCGGTTTAATAAGATGTCGCATCTAATGCATACTTGACATTTTATCTCTTTTGCCACGACATCTAAGGACTCCTTACTGATATCGGTGAGCTTAACCAAGAGAACTTGTATACCTAGTATACCTTACGTTCCTAGGGAAGTAGTGATGCCTCGCTTTGGCGTAATCCATCACGTACGCGCATTAGTTCGGTAAGTGTTGTTCTTGGAACGACAAATTTTAGCTCAATATTATTAAGGGACCTAGGGTTTCTATGTTGGTTGATTTAAGTGAACTTAACTAATCGTCGCAACATAATAGAAATCCTAGACATGCATCTAGCAATCATATATAATAACAATATATAAGGCATAAAAATAGATGCATTTGGCAACTAGCATGACCCCTTGAAATCTTCAATTTCCATGGGTCTTCATCTTGGCTCGTCTTCGTCGAAACGCCGTCTTGAGACATCTTGACCAAAATGAAATAAAAGAAGCTAGCTAGAACGACTAAGATTAATCTAATAGTACAAAAATACTTAACGGTTCGCAGACCGTATTTAGATTTACAAAAATACATAACGGAACGCAGTCCGTATTTTCTATCCTAGTCGGGCCCCACTAGTTGCCATATTCAAGGAACCTGTTTTGAAAACAATCTTCCATTCACCCATTCACTATTTGTGAATGGCCCATGCAATTTTACGAAATACATAATTAAACACGCAAAACTAGTACTAACTTAGGTGGTTAATCCAATTAACACGCCTAATTAAAACTAGTCAAAGTGGTTTAATCCATTATTTCTAAACGCAAAATGCTAACGCACTTGATTAAGCTCCCACTAAATTCCGCATCCGTACTTAATTAATCCAATTAATTAAGTCGGCATAACCCATAATTTGTCAAAATTTTGCAAAATCAAAATCGAGGTTTTTAGCCTCATTAAAATAATTAATTAAAATTATTAAAACGGCAAAGATTTATCGCAAAATCATAGCTCATGCTTAAGCAACAAGGCATCATCCCATGATACATGGCGCACCATGGCTGCTAGGCAGCCCATGGCCCTGCGCCATGGTGCGTGGTGCTGGCAGCTAGCAAGTGTGCCTAGCACAGCCTGCCTTGCTAGCTAGCACCAGCAGCATGCTACGCATGCCAGCAGCGGGCTGGCTGGCTGGCTGGGGCTTGCTGCCTCGTTGCCAGCAGCAGCACAAGCGCACCAGCAGCCTAAGGCCCATGCACCAGCACACGCACCACACAACATACCTCTCCTCGCCACACAACCACGCACCAAACGATGCACAACCATATGCGCACCACAGACAGCCTACATGTGGGCTGCTAGGCAGCTCGGCTAGCCTTGGTCACGCTTGCGGTTTTGCATCGATTTGCGTGCATTTTACTCGGAATTTTAATTCCGATTTGTGTGTGACAATAATCAATTCTAAATTACATTTTAGAATTAATTTTGAGGGAAAATAAAATAAAATTAAGTCTAACTTAAACAAATTTATTTTATTGGTGCACAAGCCTAAATTTATCCAAAATTTCAATTTTGAACAAAATTAGGTCAAACTTTATGCTTAAAATAAAATGAGCTATGTCCAAAATTAATCTTGCCAATATGCAAATTAATAATGGATTTGACAAATGGGAATTGGAAAAAATAAATTAACCATCCAATGATAAAAAAAAAATAAAAATTCCAACTTGCATACTTGTGTAAAATACCAAGATTACATCTTCCAATATGAAGATTAATCAAATTTTACTCACAAGTAATTGAACTTAATGGATTTTAATCAACCAAAACATGAAAAATCCAAACTTTGTTCAATATGGAATTTAGGGTTAGGGTTCCAATCATTTAAACCTTTAAAGATTAGAACTTTAACATTACTTGGGAACTTAAATACAAAATCACAACAAGTTTTCACACCTCATTGCAATTTATTTGCAAAATTTGTGAAAAACAAGTTTATGTGATAAGTTGGTATATCAACTTAAGCACTAATAAACACTCCATTATTATGCTGAAGGATATTTTAAAACCAGTAGATTAGTGATGCAAATGTGCATTTAATCTAACCTTGTAATGCTTGCATTAATCAAGGCTTAAAAAGAATTAAAATTTTCGTTGAAAAACGAAAAACCCCAGAAAAATTGGGTTTCTGGTTCGAATTTGGCTTCTGGACAAACCTAAAGGAGTAAAACAGTTCCAGAATGTCGATTCCACCCAAAAATCACTATTTTTGAGCCAAAATCTAGGTTCGACAGCCAAATCGAAAATAAAATCGAGTTTTAAAAATTAATTAAAATGAGCATCTAATCTAATTAGATGAACATGAACCAGAAAATTAAATTCTTTTAAAACACCTTAATTAAACAATAATTGCAAAATTAAAAGGAGCGTGGCTCCGATACCGTTGTAGGGTTTCGTAGTGACCCGACACTACGCGGAAGGAAACCCACCAAGACCCGCCCCTTAATTAAAGCAATTAACAAGCATAATAAAATTAATCAAACAAGATTAAGAACAAGAATTATACCTTTGACGCGTGCTTCGCCCCCAAAGAGCTCTTACTTCAAAATTCCGAAAAGACGAGATCTCCGACGGATCGTACCCTCGACCCGACCCGAGCGTCCTAAGTCTTGAAGGTTAGTCAAGACCCAGACAAAATAACTATGAGTTTTACGAATCAAAGGTTTACTCTTTCTTAGAGTTGCCTTTTTAATTCCACTCAAGGTTGTTCATTTCCCAATACCCAAGCTTGGTATTTATAGGGAAATGAACCCTTGCATTTCATTCCCCAACCAATGTGGGAGAATGTTTTATTTGCTAATTAATTTATTTCTAAAATAAATCAATAAATAAATGCAATTATAATTCGACAAGTGTCAAAGGGAGAGAGAGTATTAGGTGAGGACCATGGAGAGGTGGGGGGACCAATGCCTTGCTCCCCAAGGCTTTCACAAAGCCTTGGTCCCCACTCTCCTCACAAACCGCCTCAACCAAGGCTGCTGGCCAACTGTTAGCTAGCACGCCAGCTGGCTGTGCCAGCTAGCCCAGCATGCTAGCACAAGCCCAGCAGCAGCGCTGGTGCTTGCTGGTGCGTGCTGGCGCTGGTGCTGGCTGGTGCGTGCTGGCGCTGGTGCCAGCATCCCACGCATCATCGCTGCACCATATGTTCACATGGCCCAGCATGCGTGCTGCTAGCGAGCCACGCATGCTGGCCTCTCGCACATCATGCGCGCCACGCATCAGCCTCTCTCGCACGCAATGCCTAGCATGCGTGCTTCTAGCAAGCCACGCATGCTTGGCTTGACGTTGCTAGCTTGCTAGCCCCTCGCACACATTCGCACAGCCACACGCATCTGCCTCGGCCATGCACCGTGCACCATGCACGTACATGCCTCGCCCAAGCACCGCGCACCACGCATGCGCCAGCGCTTAGCACTAGCTGTGCTTGGTGCGTGTGGTCCTGCCATGCGCTTAGCATTATGCTAGGGCTGCTACGGCATCAGGCCATCCTAGGGCACGCATGGTGCGCCTAGTGATGCTGCCTGGGCTGCGATGGTGCCCAACCATCCTAGGGCACGCATGGTGCGTCTAGTGATGCTGCCTGGGCTGCGATGGTGCCCAGCCATCCTAGGGCATGCATGGTGCGCCTAGTGATGCTGCTGGCTTGCGATGGGCTGCGATGGCGCCCAACATCATGCTAGGGCTGCGATAGCGCCTAGGCATGATGCCAGGGCTGTGTTGGCGCGCCTGGTGCTAGCGATAGCCAGCCATGGTGCCTAGCCATCACGCTAAGGCTGCGATAGCGCCTAGGCATGATGCTAGGGCTGCTATGGCGCGCCTAGTGCCTATGATGAGCTAGCCTAGCCTAGCTATGGCTACGCTCATATTTGTCGATTGTGATTTTTGCGACGCTCGGTCTCGACGCCCTAGGCTCGATGTCCGACGTCTGTATTCGTAAAACTCTGTCGACTCATTAAATCCTTTCGGATTAATTCGTCGTCTCGGATCGGTGATTCGATTGGGTTCGACCCGAAGGGTTCAGTTAAGATTAAGCTGTAACATCAATTGCACATCGATATTACTGATCGGAAGCGGCCTCCACCTAGGCATTCCGATCACTTGACCTTACTGAAGAATTAGCTCTGTAATAATTCTGAACCCTCTACCGGAAGAATACACTTGTTGGAAGGACACCATTCCTTTCACCCTAAGGTTAACACACCACTTCCACTCAAAAGCACTTTTGGGTGGAAGGTTGGAGCCAAGTAATTTATGCCCAAAATAGAATATGTGTTTGAAGTATTTTTCAAGTGCGTAAAAGCAGAAAAATCATCCTTCAATTTATAATGATGGATGGAGGAAGATAGAAAATCAAAGAAGAATATTTTCATCAATGAGGGAATAAAATCAGAATAAACATAATGATTTAATCAACATAATCAACCTCTTAAATGGGGGGTTGCAAAGAATCAAATTAGAAATCAAGAAGAGGAATCCAAGAGAGAGTCGTTGGAGTCCAACGGGTTACCTCGCGCCCGATTGGGAAGCAACCAGTCGAAAACTGGGTTGCTCTCGTGCTCGGTCAGGCGAACAACCAGTCAAAAACTGGGCTGTTCTCGCGCCGATCAGACGGCAAAACTCCAGAATTTGCAACTCTTCTCGCGCCTGATCAAACGGTGCGCGTCCGATCGGATGCCTATGTTTGACCTTTTGAATTCCCTTTCTTTATTTCAACATCAATTACTCATTCAATTTATTTTACACTCTATCTATCTTTAGTGCTGCAAAGCCTGCAATTCTGTAAATTCCATATACACAAGCAAGTTAGCAACTGCGCAACAGAGAGCGCGAGAAAACCTTCAACCTTCAACAATGGCGGGTGACTTATTTGGCGACTTACCACCTCCTTCATACCTCTCACCTCCTTCTCAAGAACAACAAGAACAACAACTTCATCTTCAACCTCACAAATCTGTCAAAATCAATGAAAATAATAAAACAACTAGTATTATTAAAGACCCAACTCCACTCCCTCCTCCTCCCCTCAAAAGCGCCTTCAAACGATCCAAGCCTCCAGAATCTACCCCAAATGAAGGTTATTTTGCCCCCTTTTTAATCAATTACTTTAATTTATCTATGTAATTGTGTATAGTTTTGATTTCATGTTTTAATTTATGCATTTTGATTGTTAATTGGAATGGTATTGATTGTTGGTTTATTTATTTGTGTATAAATTTTTGGTGATTACGAGTTATTGCTGACCTGAACTAAAGGGGTTGGTCATTTTAGGGTTTCTGAGTAGGGAAAGTTGGTTTTTTAGACTTGAATGATTCTAAGAAGAGAAAGCTGAAGATTAAATGGTTTTGGAGTTTTGGTGATTGGTTCGAATGATGTTAATTGCGGTTGATTCGCTGTTGGATTGAGTTTTGGTGATTAAGAGTCGTTTTCGACTTGAATTTATAGGTCTGTTACTTTAGTGGGTCTAGATAAGCTTAGCTGAACAATTTTCATCAAAAATAAGAAATGTTATTGATTATAATTTATTGGCTTTTGAATAAAGTTCGGTAATTTAGGGTTGTCGCAATCCATAGATTTGTTTACTAGAGTGTTCTAGATAAGCAGTGCTGTATTGAAACAAGAAATGATATTGGTTATGGTTGATTTGCTTGGATTATTTCAGTGGTTAAGGGTCATTGTGGATTTGAATTCGTCTTGTTACTATAGTGGTTCTATATAAGCAGAGATGAACAAGGATTGGTATTTTTTGTGGTTGATTCGGTTTTGGATAAAGTTTGGCAATCAAGGGTTGTTGCCAGGCTTAAATTCTTAGATCTGGTTTATACTATACTTTGTACAGTGTTTCTAGTTAAGGGTAGCTAGTTTGGGGAATGAAACAATTTTAATCAATAACAGTTCAAGGTATCATTTTATGATCTAAAAAATGGCACGTGGCTGATAAAAATCTTACGCTCTGGGTGAGTTTGAATTGTTATATCTATCTGTGCAACATTTTCATGGTAATGATTTTTCAAATTAGTTTACTAGATCGCTATTTTGTTATGGTTATTGCATAAGTGATGCCAATTGATCCGTGACTCAGGAATGTCACTTGTTTTATCTACACTGGTCAGAGTCTGATATTTGAAGCTGCAAAGTTTCGACTTACCTTTGTCTTTGACTTCAGGTATTAAGGAGTTTCCTGGTTTCACATAATTTTGACTCTTTCCTGTCGTAGGTGATAATAATTTTTATCTAGATTTTTTTCCAATTTTTTCACAAGACATCTTGAGTCATTTGTGTTTCTAGAAAGCAATAAGTCAATGAAGATTCAATTTTGTCTGGTTTAGTTGCTGAAATTGCGAATATAGATTGATCTAGAGGAACCTACTGAAAATTGTTTTAGTATTGGGATGTCTCACGTGAGACAATATCATCAATTTTCAATTGCTGACTGCTATTTTTCTTACAGCAACCTTCCAAATTCCATATGCATTTCATAGCATTTCGAGCTATGGAAAGACTTGAGAGAAATTTTGTTCTTATATGATCTTTTATGACTATATATGTCTAAGCATGGCACTAAAATGCTAGTAAGGTGCTGAATTATTTTTAATTCATTTCAGAGGTTGGATCTGGAAAGAAATTGAGGTTTAAAACCTCCACGGATGCTTCTATATCACAAATTGCTGAGGCCATGCAGAAGATAGCCTCCCACATCGGAAATTCTGCTAAGTTCAGTAAAGCTTCGAAGTTGGCTATACAGTTGATTCAGGCTGGAAGTGTCAAACCTGAAACTGCTGATCACTTCTTTTCCATACTGGAAGCAGCAATGTTTTCGCCTACTTCATGCAATAATGCTTCTGCACGATCAGATTATCATGCATTGTTCTCTGCGGCACAAGATGCAAAAGATGTAAGTTTTTCAATGATCTTTAATGCGTGGTTATCTCTGTTATTATGATTGTTGATTTCATATTTGATACATTTCTGTAGAGATGACTCTCCTTGTGTTGACTGCAGTGTCTGAATAAGAAGCAGAAGAATCAACTAACTGTATGGACCATCCGAGCCGTGGTGGCAAATGACTTGTATACTGATGACAGCTTTTGTGGTAAGCATTTTTGGAACTTTGCTTAAGATATCATTTACTAATTTTTTTTTTTAAAAAGAAAGAAAGAAAGAAGAAGAAAAGTAGAGATGATGATATACTGTGAGTACTATCATAGATAGGTTATTCAGCATTAAAATATGAGTTTGTGATGTTATGACTTTGCAACCCATAGTTATTTTGTAGCTTAAAGGATGGCAGTATGGGTTAATGAATTATTATGATAAAGCTGCTAGTTTTTTGTAATTAAGTATTCTTTAGATCGAGTGATGATTAATGCTTTATCACCTGTGGAGGGCTGATGCCTGTAGATCTAGTTAAGAAACAGTGTATAGAAATAAAGGATCCCTATTAGGGCTTATTTCTTTGGTATATTTCTGAAGAATATCTTACGATTTAGTTGTGGATTGTGTACAATATTGGTATGCATGCAATCTGCTGTGGAGATTTTGATGCATCTTTGAGGATGGGATAAAGTTGGTCTAAGAAGAGGAATTAGCCAAATGTTCTATGCTCAAAGTGATTTGTTTTCTACTCTAGGATGGATTGATGAATGAGTTTTTTGATGGCATGTGTTATTTATGTGAGATAGAAGCTTATGGTCAGAGTTGCCCCTTATATATTAGTTACCACTTTTGGTCCATAGTGATTTTCTAGCATGGCTGCTGGATAATAATTTATATTAGAATAAAGGTTATTTGTGCCTATCAAATTATAAGTGACGACCTCATTGGGCCTTGCGTTATGAATTTGTGTTGGTTTAAGTGTAGATCAGTACAATGATGAAAGAACAAAGAAGGGGATTACAAACTATTTTTCCCTTGTAAAAAATTGTGATTGAGGTGGCATAGAAATTTCAAAAATGTTTTTAGATGCAAGGTGTTATGGAAATTGGCAAAAAATAATTTTTCTGAGTGTCTCTTCTTATAAACATTTTTACATGCTCTCATTTCCAAAATATTACTAGAACAGCAGGATTTACCCTTCAGTGTTTCTGTGATTTCTAGGATGTTCTGTGCCTCTGTGGCTAACTGGATGGTATTGTAGCAGTTCAGAGTTGCCAAATGTAGAAGCTAGGGTATTTGAGATTTACGTTTGACAAATAGGATCAGAATGGGTTTTATGCTAAAAGGAGATACTTTATTTATTGCATTATTCCTGTCAACATGTCTTCTTCAGGGAATTAAATGGTTGCAGAAACATGGTGATGGAAATTACATCTTTGTGTACAGAAATCATTGACCTGATGAATACTATTAGCGTATGCATACTGGTGTGCTTATACACCACAGTGACTTCATGCTTGTGCTTGTAAATGGGTTTATTAGCTTACAACCTATACCTTCTGTTGGACCACTTCATTCTGTGGTATTCTAATATTCATATGCTTCTGCTCATCTATTCATTGATTGACATATCTTATAAAGTTCTCTCTGCGGTTCATATTATAAATAACAGAAGATAAATTTCTAGAGTAGTTTTTGTAAATTTTATGGATGGCTCGGGTGTTGTGGGGGGTGCGGAGGGGGAACATGCAACTCTATTTACTTGCATGCAAATATATGTCTTTGACCTCACTTATGAGCCCAACTGGCCATTATAACAATTTATACATTTTTATATATATATATATCTGGGACTAAAATATATATGAAGTTTAATACCAGAAATTAGATGAAAATTTAGATAAGCAGATTTTCAATCGTTGCAAACTTGATGAGAAGGTATAAATGAGGAAGTTTTTTCAATCCTTTGGTTAAGCTACAACAAAAGCTCTGGTCAATTTTAAGTGTCTCAAAGAGATACATCCAACCACCAAACCCTACACATGTGTAACCTAAGTATCAATACACCAGCGTGTCACCTATTTTGAAAGGTCTACAATTAACTCTTTATATGGCAGTTTTGGGGCTGGGAGATGAAAAATACGTAAAAAAAAATTAATAATTTAGTTGCAGCTAGAGAGGGTTTAGTATTCCTTAAAATAATAACAAAGAATGGAGAAGTCAAGAACCAAGAAACAGATCATAAGTTTTCTACTGAAATCCATGTCTATTATAATTCATAAGAACACAATGCCAAAGGTAGCTTATTCTATTTAAACTATATATTTCCTCTGATCTTAACCTCATGAAGCAGATGAGTATTCCTTTCCTGTCTCCAACTCTCCACCGGTAACTAACATGAGGTAATAGTAAAGAGCAAATTTTGTAGATTGGAGAGGTACATGAAAATGCATGGCTTAGGGAAGCAGTTACAGTTCTTCATCTATAGACCTCTTCACAGTTACTTTTCGTATGGCAAGTTGGCAGCCCCTTTTTTTTCTGTGAAGCTTTTAAGTTTTTAAGCTCTACCATTGCTGGTAGCTGTCTTGACTTTCTTACATTAGTTTCTATTCTGATTATAGTTTTTGGCATTCTGGCCAATGTGAAGCTTCATTGATGTAAATTGTTTTATAATGTACTTTCCTGAGCTTATAATGCGTGTGTGCTACCTAGGTTAACATTCTTGTTCGGGCTACATGCAGTTCTCAAAAGCTGCTGGTCGCGTCAAAGATTTGATATCCAATCTTCCTGTTGCAACCAAGGAAGATGATGCTGAGGAAGTTGCAGCACTTCAAGATGAGAAGGAAAGGGTAAGTAGAGAGGTTCAGTCAAGCCAGGATGTGATTCCCTCTGATCTTTCTAATGAGGTTACCACCAAAGAAGAGTTCGATCCTTTTGGGCTTGATGCTCTTATCTCAAGTAAACCGAAAAAAGAAGCAAAAAATAATAAAGGGAAGGAGGATGAAGAAGAGATGATGAGATTTCTGAGGTTACAAAGAGAAGCCATAATCAATTGTTTGGAGATAGCTGCAAAGCGCTATAAAATCCCATGGTTTGTTCTAGCGCCCCTTTGCTACAAGTTAATTACTTCATTCTCGTTTTTTGTGCTAACAACGATGGAATCTTATTTGTAGGTGTCAGACTGTCATTGACATACTGGTAAAACATGCCTATGACAATGTATCACGGTTCACCTCTCAACAAAGGGATGCTATAGGGAAACTTTGGACTTCAATACGAGAGCAACTTAATCGTCGAAAACAAGGGAAGTCAGTTTCCGGTAAGCTTGATGTGACTGCTTTTGAATCTCTTCAAGAGAAGTACTCAAATGAGAAGATCAGCATTCGTCGTGCTGTTGGGGGTACTGGGGACAGACGTTGTCAGCAGTGGCTTGGTTGATTGGCTTTATATTCCTTCGTTTGTACCAGCTAAATCTTGTACACTTATTTGAGCAAATGGCATTTAGAGAATGTCATTTTCAAGTGAAAGAGCTGTAAGCTTCAACTGTATATACTGTACTTCCTAGTTATATAACATTTCAGTATCTTTCCCTATTTCTTTTTGTAATGCATTACCAGTAGTCACCACAAGAACAAGATCCTTCTGAGAAATGGTGGAAGCGAATACGGTCCCTAACTATGATGGTCCTCTTATAGATCTTGGAGAGGAGTTTTGTAGCAGTATGGCAGTCGTCACAAACCCTTAGATTTTTTACAATCCGAATAGGAGTACTGGGAGCTGTGTTAATAAGGCCAAAAGCCATGGCAATCTTCTCACTGTGATACTTAAGTGACTTCTCTCTTTCTTTCTCTTCTATGTTAAGCAGTACTACAGAAGTATCTGGCTTGTAACCAGCTGCCTCCAGTTTGCAGAGCATCTCCCTGAGCATATCATCAATTTCTCCAAATTGTGCGTGTGCCTGAATTCCTGTTGTGAACTCATGCACTGCACCATTTACCTCGATACAACTGATTCCCGGTTCCTTTTTCATTCCTCTGTTTTTCATGGCTTTTCTCACACTCACTACATTCTTCCATCTCTTCTCTGTTGCATAGATATTGGAGATGAGAACATTATGACCGCAGCTTTCAGGATCGATTTCAAGCA